CTGAAAATACAAAATGTCAAGGGAAAAATACTCCTGCTAAACGAGTGCAATGCCGGGTATGCCAAGAAGCTGGCATGTCCCTTGCACAGCCACACGTCCCTTTCCAATTTGCTGGAGGAACAGAGGAAACCTAACCGTCTCCATCCTTCCTTAAAAGGTGACACAGCCCCTCCTGCCTCACTTGGTGACTCCAGGAGGAACCTCGTGCACGTCAGGAAGACAGAATTCTCCCCAAAATCAGCAAACAGACACACAGCATGATACTAATATAACCGTGCAAGTCCTGGCATTTGGAAAACGTGTTTGTGCCTAGGCCTTATGTTCATAATTACCACAGCAGTAATGAATCTTGATGAATCAGTAATGACCTTCAAAAGAACACTAAAACTATTTCAGCTTCCACTTAATCGGGTAATGAAGTCATACAAATAAGCAGAATTTCTTTTAAGATGCTAAATAAGGCTGATCCCAAACGCTAGTTTTTCTTTCCCCTTTCTGATTTTCTTGAGTGTTACGGGACAGTATATTTAAGAGCTGACATAATTCATCACTGCCCGCAGAAATTGTGATGAGCTTATAGGTACGGCCATCTAATGGATGTTTCCAATAAATCCCATCAATTTCCCAAATGATCCCCCAGCAAGTACAGATAATATAGTGGTTACTGTCTGCCAGATGGGCAATGCTCGACTGCACAAACGTCACTGTCCACTTCACCCTGGCAAGCAGGTAACAAAGTTTGCATGCAACTGCCATCCATCATGCCAAACTTGGCTCTTACCCTATAATAATCCTCTCAGTTCTTTACCTGTTAGTAAGATGTGCATTAATAAGCTTGAGGAACATGTTTCTTTTGGCCAAGAGACAGGCTGTTCCCTTGTCCATGAATCTGTTGGTTAGTGTTTCTATCCCTCCAGTCTTCATGGGATAATTGAGGCAGGAAGGGAGCTCAGGAGGTCTCTAGTCCAAGCCCCAGCTCAAAGCATGGCCAGATGTAAGGTCAGACCAGGCTGCTCAGGGCTTTATCAGGTCTTCAAAACCTCCTGGGATGGAGATCCCACAATGTCTCTGTTTCCCGCTCAGATGTCCTCATGGGGAAAAAGTTGCTCATTATATCCAGTCTGAACTTCTCATTTCAACTCATGCCCATTGCCTCTCACCTTCCCAGTACACACTGCTGCGAAGAGCCCGGCTCCATCCTCTTGATAGGCATCCCTTATAGGCAGGGGACGGCTACTGTTACGTGCCCCAGGGCTGCTTCTTCTCCAGGCCGGACAAACCCCCTTCCCCCAGCCACTCTTGACCATCTTCACAGCCTCCACTGGACTCACACCAGTTTGTTGAAGCCTCTCCTGCATTGGGGGTCCAAAACTGGACATGGTATCCATTGGCCTCCATCGCTGCCAGGGCGTGCTGCTGCTCACGTCCACTCGCTGCCTACCGGGACCCTGCAGAGCTGCTCCCTGGCCAGGCAGCCCCAGCCTGTACCGCTGCAAGGGAACAGCCCTCCACAACTATCTCTCCAAGCTCCTTGCATTGCTCCAGCATAGTCATTCTGCAGTTAACTGAAGTCCACAAAATTGCGCAAAATCATTTCAAGAGTTATCAAACAGTAAAAATAAATACTTATGGTTTATACTTACAAAATTTAGCAAAAAGAAGTAAAATATTCAAGGGTCCCTGAACAATAACACAAATAGAAAATAAACAGCAAATAATAAGAACTAACTAAACTAAATAAAATTAGTGTTTCCTCCTGCCTCCCAAGGTTTGTGTCTGTGTGCATTATGTTTCAGGGTGGGACACAGCAAAGGCGAACTGTGTAAATGCCGACTCCTTGTTCACTTATACACACACAGATTTTGACTCTACAGCAGTGAACACAAGTCTCTGCATCTCACTTTCCAAACACACCTTATGCCCAGTCCACCTCTCCAAACTACGCTTCACCAGTTTGACTATAAAGATGCCACAAAAGACTGTGCTGAAGGCTTTACAGGTCAGGGCAAACAGCTTTCCTTTCTCTCCCCTTGCCCACAGAGACAACCTTTTTATCACAGCAGGCAACCAGGCTGGGTCAGGCACAGTTCGCTTCTGATAATCCATGCTGGTTGTCTCCAGTCACCTCCTGGTCCTTCACATGGATTGACACGGCTTCTAGGAGAACATGCTCCCTGACCTTCCCAGGGACTGAGGTGAGGATGACTGGCCGGTACTCCCCTGCATCTCCTTCTTGCCTTCTTGGAAGATGGGATAAAATTTCAGTTTTTCCAGTCTTTGTTGGATCTCCTTAGGTCACCACAACTTTTCAAAAATAATAAAGTGGCCCTGAAGTGACACTGGTCAGTTCCCTTAGATACCTCCTACCCAGTCCCACGGGTTTATATATGTCCATTTTGCTTAAGTGGCCCCTAACTCAATCATAAAATCATAGAATTGTTTGGGTTGGAAGGGACCTCTAAAGGTCATCTACTCCAACCCCCCTGCCATGGGCAGGGACATCTTCAACTAGAGCAGGTTGCTCAGAGGATACCTCCACAGGTGAATCCCGTCTCATCTCCCTGTTGTACATAATATTCTTCATGAAACCCTTTCAGTAGGTAAACCTTCCAGACTCACGTCAGCAGCGATGTGGCACTCAAGCGGGATCCATGGTACCAGCATCCTACTGACCATGTAGGGCAAGTTGATGTATTAAAATCTAAACAGATTGTATGTATTACAATATACAATATACAAGTTGATGTATGAAAATCTAAATTAAAATCTAAAAGATCAAACAATAATTGATCTTTTAAGTTATAAGAGAGATTGTTTAGACGTGACATGTACTTGCAAAGTATTACTGATGTTCTAAGATTTGGAGAATAGAAATGTGGATATACTCTTTGAGGAAAAAGCATGCATGTAATCTTTTTGAAAAAGTAGAAAGCATATACTTGAATGTGTTTGGTAAAAAGGGGTCAGAAGATGTCTATTAAACATTTTCTTTCCATGCTATAGAAGTGTTTTCCAACGTGTTCTTTGTCATCTTACTTCTAAACAGCATGCACTGCGTGCCTTACCCCAGTGAATAACAAGCACAATCTGAGGAATAGCACAGCAACACTTCATATAAAAGACAGGATGGATAGTAGATATAAAACTGACACTATTTGGCTCTACATTTTAACACAAAATAGTGTTCTGAAAACAGAAATCTTTTTTTTATCCTTCTCTGTAGAAATCAACCATCAACAACTCTTTTTTTTTTTTTTTTTGGTTGTAACTAATTTTTGGCAGGAAAAAAATTCTGCATTCAGAATGTTTTCTAGTTCACTTTATTAACATGGCCTACCTCAGTTGTTAAAGTCAACTACTGGGGGGAAAAGTCTATGAAATCTACTGGTTACAAACCAGCTTTTAGCAATGAGAAGAAAAGCAGGCAATTGCTATTGTGTTACATATTCCTACTCCATAGTAGGAATAACAAGATATTTATTATCATTTGAACTAGTAGGTAAGGCTCTAGCTCATCAAACAGAGAGACAATTCAAGCACTGATCTGGAAATACCTGTAATAGATTCCTTAAACTTTTTGCCTATTAGGAATAGCATGATTCACCAACATGCAATGCGTCATCTTTAAAAAAAATGAGCTCCTTCCTCCATACTTGGCACTTGCTGTTTGAGTACAGTAGCTGGATGGATTCAGTTTGGTTAACATAACACCCTCCTGTTTCTCCTTGTAATTTCCTACCAGCTATTTTTTCGTGACTCTGGATGCCTTGAAGTCCTAAATGAAGGTCAAAGTCCTTTTATAGAAGCAATAACTTCTCTGACAGTAAAAGAGGGCTTGTCTGGGTAAATCAGACACTGCTGTGTTCTTGGGAGAGTGCACCACATGCCACTTATTCAGGTTTCTGTCCTTTAATCAAAGCAACTCAGCTAGGGTCTGCTTGGATATCCCCATGGTGGGAAGTGCTCTGTGTGTATACCTCTTTTTTCTATGAGTCAAGGAAAGCCATAGTTTGGCTATATCAAATTAAAACTGGTTATCAAAGAAAGTCTCCTTACCTGTACTGCTGGAGATGTTGACATCAATGCTGATATCCGATATGCCACCTCCCTTCAGAGACGCAACACACGTGTATGTCCCAAAGTCTGTGAATTTCAAGTCAATTATGTCCAGGTTTGTGGTGCCAGGTGAAACATCGGGGTCAGTCTGTGTGATGACCATCCTTTCAGAGCTTCGCAAGGGACGTCCATTTTTAAACCAGCTGAATGTAAGCTCTTCAGAAGGGATGGCTTCCACCTGGCAGGAGATTTTCACCTCTCGCCCAATCTGGATGTTGTCATCTTTGTGATATGGGTCAGGGGTGATCCAAAAACGTCCTTTTTTTAAGGCTGAAATATGAAAAAAAAAAAAGTTTACTATAATGAAGTACCAATTTTGCATATTCAGACTTTTCAAAGACTTACAATGCTCACGCTTCACTTTATGCCTGCATACGATTTTAATAGGTCCTGTAGCGATAGGACAAGGGGTGATGGTTTTAAACTAGAAGAGGGTAGATTCAGACTAGATAGAGGGAAGAAATTTTTTTACACTGAGGGTCGTGAAACACTGGCCCAGGTTGCCCAGAGAGGTGGTGGATGCCCCATCCCTAGAAACATTCAAGGTCAGGTTGGACGGGGCTCTGAGCACCCTGATCTAGTTGAAGATGTCCCTGCTCATTGCAGGGTGTTGGACTAGATGGCCTCGAGAGGTCCCTTCCAACCCAAACCATTCTGTGATTCTGTGATGCTCGGGAAGTCACTGAAGCTTCCAATGCACACATTTAGCACATGGTTAACTGTATGTAGGCTCAGATCTTAATCAAATATCATCACAGATTATACATTGCTAAAGTACTTGTCATTTCCAAAATGAAAAATAGGAAGTCAGAGCACCTAAATTAGGCTGAGCTGCTGACAACTGAAGAGTAACCAAAATAATTCATGAATCTTCAGTGTTTGTTACCTGTCTCTGGAGGTATTTACAAGCCCTTCTTCACCCCCATGCTATCAGAGCACTGAGAGAAGAGAAAATAGAGATATCAACCTAACATCACTAATACAACCAGTAGCGTCATCTCCAATCTATCTGGAAACAAACACAGCCATGCAAAATAGCTTTGTGCCAGCTGGTTAAATGAGAAGAGGTAAACACATGCCCGAGGCTACAGCCTGCCCTGGTTTACACACCCTGCTTCATCCCTGTGGCAGCCTGGAGGGCTCCCTCCATCCCACGGCTGCCTGGAGGCAGGCTGCCTCACCCCACCGAACGGCAGAGCCGCGGCGGCCGACTGCACTGCCTTGTTCAAGGTGGGGAAACTGCCGCCAGCTCTAAAAGGTAAGGGGGCTGAAAGTACACCTTTAGGCGTTAGCAGTGCTCAGTGGCAAGAGGATGCTCGTCTGAGATGTAACCACGCAGGAGAGCCCGTCACGAGCACCTTGGTTGCACCTCCCTGGCTAGGTCTTGTCAGAGGAGGAAAACCTATCCCGTACTCACAGGAGCAACCTGAGGCTGAAGGTTGCACACACAACTGAGAGAAGAGCATTATCACTTAGAGAGGCACAGTGTATCCCAACGATCTCTATCTGCATCCAAGACTATTCAAGCCTGCAATACAAATTAAATTAATTCTCTAAACCACAGCAAAGCAGAGATAAGGTAGTCTCAGTGTTTCAGATGGGAACCCCAAGGCAGATGAGTTTTTTGAGGCCATTTCAAAGGCAGGCTCAGTGCTCAGGAGTGCCCTACACCCATGCAGGGGCGCAACCACTCTGGAAAACACTATTCCACACCATCTTACCGGCGAGACCAGCATATTTTACTAGCATTCCCTCATCAATCTACTGCACAGGAGCAAAATAATACCGCAACTCACTTATCTGATTTTTTTCTTGTCACTCTTTAAATGAGCATAAAACTATCCAGAAACTATCATAATTTACATCAATAAAGTGATTGCTCTAAAGCAGTGTTGGTATGATACTTATTTTTGGAAGAGTGCCTCAGAATCAGCCATTAAGTCCTTCAAATACACATATATTTTGATGTACTGAATGTAAAATGCTACTTATACAATCCCAAGATCCCTCTCCCTCTATATATGTCTGCATAAGTATGTATGTATGTTTATACATGTTATCTCCAAATGGAAAGTTCCACAATGAAAATATCAGTCAGAAATGCAAGCAAATACCCAGGTTGAACGCAAGCACTGGAAGACAAATATTTAAATCCACCATTTCTTGTCATTGTGCTGACTTCCACTGAAAACTTTTCCACGTTGCCGTGTTGCCCCTCCTATTCTCTGCCCCCCATCCATGCGCAGTGCCCCACATGTGGAGCGTTTGAGTAAAGGACCCGTTTGCAGCACGCTCCTGTCTGGCCTCCTATATTTACACGCTTACAGCCAGTGAAGTGTGATGTTGTTATAAACGGCAAGGGCTATGAGCTGAAAATTTCCCTGGATCCCATACTTCGGGTGATATGTACTTTTCAGTTGCTGCGTACAGAAAGTGTAACAGCGTCAAATGGAAATAGATGTATGAGGCACCAAGCACGCTAAGAAAGCACAGCGCGTCAGCTCCTTACATCTCTACAAGTGGTGAAAATGCTAATTCAGACTCAATTTTGTTAGCTCAGCAGCTCCTTGAACAAAACAACTCTTTGGAGCTTGCAAATGCCATGCTGAATTAGCACTTTCACAACTTTGAAAAGAATTAACATTTAATTAATAATTAGGGTTTTTTCCACTGTGGGAAAAGCATAAAATCTGGCTACTTGTGGACACCCCCTCACGCATGGTGTGAGAAACTTCTTCCACTGAGGAAGCCAGCCCTTTTAATCGGAGAACGAAAAAATTGTTACATTTGCTGTGCTGATCAGGTATGGCATGAAAGGCCTTGGTCTGGGTGCTGCTATTGGGTTGTAAATGTATATTCAAGAATTCAAGTGGTTGATGTGTTTTTAAGAATTTATTATTATTTCATTTATTTAAGAAAGTTTCATGAGTTTTATCAAGAGTAAATTTGCACCAAAATGCACTAATCTTTACTGAGCATCTCTCATTCCCTTTTAAAAGCTGCAGCCAGTTCCCCAGGAAGCAGAATGAACACGCGCTTTGATTCAAGAGGATGAACTATACAATGTATGACAGTTGGAGAGTAACTTTGAAACACAAGCTGAACTTTTTTGTTTGAAAATGGAAGAACAAACAATGCTTACGTACACAAAAAACAGTAAATATATTATGCAAATGATTTTCAGAGAGGGAAAAAGAAAAAATAACTCATGATAGGCATGATGAGCAGCGCATTTCAAACAGAATTAATTGCTAATAACCTCAATAAACTATTTTTACTTCTTAATTTTTCTCCTTTGCTTGAAGTGCTTATACAGACCATTTCAGCAGTTTCTCATTCTTATAAAGGAACAACAAGGACTAATAGAAAAGTCACATTAACTTTGATCTATCTTTGTTTATCTATCTATCTTGGATTCTATCCTTTGTTATGGCTAGTGCTATAATACCATCTGCAAGCTAAGATAATGGGTACAGAACCTCAAACTTTGGGCCATAAGCCACTTAATTCATGGGCCAGGAAGGGCTCCACTCTCTGGCTCATGGACTAAATTACAAAAACAACTAAGTTTTGTGGCTGGTGCTTGTTGGTTCGGTTTTATGCAGGCTGAGTGTTAGGTCCAAGAAATAACTGGGCCGGGTCATCCAGTGTCCTGATCTGCTACAGCAAACTCTAAGCACCAAAGAACTGTGCAGAGCATATACCTGAACTAAGTGTTTTTCTGTACATCCAAATACAAGGAGTTCAGAGGAGGACTGTGGCTCAGTGCACTACATGGAAAAAGGTAAGGGAGTTTCTAGAAATTCTGAAGTGAAGGAAAAAGTCTCTTTGCTCTATTCCCCAAATTAAACCTCTTAACGTCTCTTAAGCCATGTGAACATAGGCACTATATTCGCCAGTAACAGCCATGAAATCCCCACATCAAACAATCCAACAACTGTGTAACTACAACCTATGGTTGAAAGTCAATGATGTACTGTTTTTATAATCCCATTCTGCAAGACTCCACAAACTGCACACTTATCAGCATTTTCTTCTATTACCAACAAAATCAGCAAAAAATTTGACTTTAAAATACAGTGTCTTTTCAGAGTTAAGTAAGATCATTAAACAACCCGTATCTGTAAGTCCCTAATCTCACTTGGCATCAGAATAAACACAGTGATCTCTGCAATTAACCTGTGTATCTTGGAATTTCTAATGTGCCACCAAAGCACATGAAAATCACCATCCATACCTGGAAGATGTCCCCGGTAAACCAACCACAGGTGCCCAAAGACTTCTGATAGCTGCAGGCATGTGGAGCTGGAGCACAGTGGGAGCAGGGAGCAGCGTGGGGCCATGACAGGCAGACACGCTTCTCTCTGACCCGGGACTATGGCCAGAATTGCCCCAGATGTGACAGTGCTGAGTTGCTCAATATTTGGCCCAGAAGCAGCCCAAAAACTAGAGTGCCTTTCATTAGAATTCCTGGTGGGCTTGTTCCACCATTCATTTTCAAGGATGGAAAGCACCGCAGTACTGCCACCACCCCTAAGTAGTAATAAACCTCCCTTCCCCAAACCCTGAAAATGGCAGTAGCAGCTGTGGTGCTACAGAATCTTAGGAGCTAGAGCTCTTTCATAGGAAGGGGAAATTGAACCTGGATCTCCCACTCCAGACTGATGAGACTCCAAATCACTTCACATACTGGAAACTTCCTGACCCACCAGGTCAGAAACCCTTCTGAGCAGATGAACCACTCTCAGGTATGCCACGATGGAGAAGAGGACTGTGTAAGTCAGAGTTTAGGGCACTCTTGGCTGGCAGAGACAGGAGCGGCTGGGACGACCCTGCTGAGGTCTTTGAAAGAAAAGTTATTACAGCAATGAAGCGACCCACAAACCCAGAACTAACAGGGTTGCCCTTGGCAAAGTGACATGGGGTCAGCAGACCTTTCCAGAGCAACCGTGCTTTCAGCAGTCTTGGGGAATACAAAGCTGCTCGTTGCAGGCAAGGAGGCGTGGAGTCTTAGATTCATGTATGCTGGATGTGGTCTCCAAAAAGATTTCAGACCTGACTGATGTACATCGTGTGTCATGTACTGACCTCTTGGGAAGACCTGAGTTGAGCCTGGTACAAATCCACCAGGTGATGGAAAGCTGATTTCTGTATGTATTCTGCACATGGGTTTGCATGCACGGTCAAGCCCCATAAAACAGTGGTTTGGGTTATCCTCATGTGTAGGTTCTTGGACCATAATTTCCAGGCACCCTCCTGAAGTGTCAAGT